ACTGTTCGTGGTAAAATTTCTTGGGAAGTGGCGGTTTCCAACCGAAAGAAGACTGGTACATTGTTAGAAGCTTAAAACCGCAATGAAATTTATGCTGTGAATTTAAATGAATAATTTCAGTATAAAATTCACATCTGGGCTTTTGTTTTAGCGGCGTTGAACCATCGGATTTTGTTACGAGAGGTGGTGTATTCAACGACGCTGATAGTAGTTCATACCATAGAGCGTCGAGTTATTTGATGATTAATGAATAATTAAAGGGAAATAATATGAAAGGAAATGGTCGTGGTATTATTTAAGGTACTAACATGGAATTTTCCTGGAGGAACTAAGGGAAACAACGAAGACTTTCAGTCAGGATAGCCAATATTGAACCCGATATATTCTAAATACAAATCAGGAGTGCCAACCATTCGGCCGCGACGTTTATAATTTGTTAAAATACGATAGTAATACTGTATACATCCACACTTGGTACAGCAACATAAGATTTGATGTCGGTAGACAACACTGTAACTTGCAGCGTAGACCCCCAATGCCAAATTCCATCCACATCCGATCAGTCAGAAATGAAACAGACACAACGTCCCAATTAGAGTCAATTTCTTGCGCTTTGTATAAAGAGCGAATAGTATAAATCGGGTTCAGACGTGTATAATTTAATTATACCCACGATAAAATCCAAGACTTCAAGATATTATCAAAGCAATTCATACAATTTTTTAACATAAAAAGTATCAATCTCCAAGATATATTCCAGCATTCAGGATATTCATGCATCAGGGTTCATAACATCGTGACATCACACCCATACTCATAAACGAGACATATTGTCCAGTACTTAGATGACTATGTGACGGATAAAACAGACATTGTAAACCGGATGTGTTATGTATATGACTAATCGTGTAAACACGTTTGCTTTCGGGGTTGTGAAGAAACTTCACTCTCCGGTCTTCACGCCCATAAGTGTAATTTGCGGTCACAGGACTCAGAACGACACACAATAAACGGTCAATTTCCATGAAATAAAGTGTGAATATAATGCAGTTGGAATAACGTCCTCATTCATATTTTTATGCTCACCGCGCTGATGATGGAGACGGAAAGCACGTCTAAAACATCTGTAAGCTTCTAGCAGACTACAGGACGCAATGCCCCAGAATACATATTCATATTCGGCGCCGTGAGAAACTTAAATCTCACCTTGTCAAATTTCTCGGGAAATAATCATCCTGCAAAACAATTAGCCTAGTACATAACACAAAATATTAATCCCATTAAGGATACAACTCTTTTCGGTGCATTTATCTACATGACAGGTAACAAAGCACAAAGAATCCTGTTCGTGCAGCGTGGTACCTGCAGAGCTTTAAGGGAATGCCATGGCCAGTGAGGTTCCACGCAAAGTGCGTGTACTCCACTTGGGCATGCTTTCTCATTCTTTCTAATTCCTTGTCCACAACAGTAGCAGCACGACACATATAGGATAAGACAACATTAACCCTTTAAAGCCCAGTAGTAATTCTACCAGGTGATTCAAAAAGGACTTTACAACTTTGAAAGTGTATAAAAATTTATTCAGAAGGCTTACAGAATCGGTTGAGATGTCATTTTGTAGCAAACCAAATCAAGTTTGACTCACGTTGTGCTGTAGTACCGAATTCCGTCACCTCGAGCGCAAGCGGCAGTGCATTTGAAAATGGCTCGAAAGTTTTCTCATACCACAGTTAGACGAAGATCACCAAAAAGGGCGCATTCACTTCCAGCAAGACGGCGCACCACCTCACTACCTCACAGAAGTCCG